TCTCTGTTTTGTGCGTGCGTTCGCTTTCATAGTTTTCGGCTGCAATTGTCGGATTAGCGCTGGCACTCTGCCTCCCGGGCGGTTATACGTGTGTGATTGGTGGTTTTCTCGCTTTCTGGGAAGTTTTAGAATCGAGAAAGAAAACGTGATTCATCATGTTTGCAAGCGTCAGAAGATTTGGCGCTTTCTGAGTTGTTTGATTTTTTTTAATCCCCGACCATATATTTGTGGCATCGCGAGTGATAGTTTGTAATTTCATTTCATATACGCGCTGCAAGGTGCGTGAAAGAGCTTGGCACGATCGGTGTTGATGTTGGTTCACTTGCAACAATTTTTGCAAAAAAAAAATAATTAAGTATTTTCGAAAGAAATTGATATCGAAATTGTACCAAAAGTGCTTCTGAACGTGTTTCGCAGTTAGATGGTGAAATTCGCGGTTGTTTTCAGTGAAAATTCCGTATCACAAATGTTCTCACCGAGTTCCCTTATTTTGCCGTTTGACGACATCAGGAATGCGCTCCCGGATATACTGATTTGGTGAGTACGTTCCAGTTGAGGATTGTTCTTGTACATTCCTCGATTGCATTTTCGAGGGGACGTGTCTGCTTTTGTGGGCAGTGCGTTTGATGGTCGGTTTGGTAGTATCCTTTTAAATATAATATCTCATGTCCAAATAACCTCGATTTTCGGTCTATTGATTCAATACTTCAGTATTATATTTTCAAAACATACAATTATGCATTATGTCATTTCATGGCACATAAAACAAAAAGTGTGTGTATAGGACCCAATAATCTAGGTTATTTGTATTTTGTAAAACATCTTTATTTTTTATTATATTTTTCATTCTACTACATATTTTATATACATTATATATTTCATGATTATATATAAATTCATAATGTAAATTACAATAAATACTGGAACGGGAGGGAGCATCAGGGCATCATTGAAGTTGTAACTGGACAATGGAGTGGAGTGCCAACCGGAGTCTAGGAGGGAAAGTGTACTGTCATTTTAGATAGTTACATTTCACTCCAACAGTTGCAATGAATTTGACGCGCTCTTCTTTAACAAACCATCCCGTGGAAAGCTTAACATATATTGCGAATTTCGTTATTCATTTTGTTGGATCATATTGTTGGAAGGAGATTCTCTTATTCCCGCGGGTTTCGCGTAAGTGCCCCTGCTTACGGGCCCGTCCAACCCTTTTTGGCCCTTCATACAGCAGTATGTTGAATTTAGAATGATGACGGAATTTGATCTTGCTGTTGAGTGGAGCCGCATGCAGGGCAAGACCCAAGCTAGGATGGTGGCTACTTACATACATACATACATTTAAAGCAATGTGTATGTTAAACAAATCACAGCAAAGCCCTGCAATATATTTGTTTTATGCTTCTTTTTTTTCACCATTCGATATTTTGTACGCTATATTTATAACTTAATTCAATCACATCTCATGTATCAACTATCGCTCACACAATTTACTCTTATTTTTATCTAATTTTCAGCTCAATTTTTTTTGGTTCTAATTTTTTTTGGTTCTAATTTTTTTTTTTTCGATTTCCCAGCGAGATTGTCTTTAATCATAATAAAAGATTCCACAATTGACTGACTCTCCGTGCCCTTATACCTTTGATGAGCCTCTAAAGAAAGTCTACAGGGTATTTGAGGGATGTCCAAGAATTTATGTTTTGAGGTAAATACAAACAAATTAGTCAGAGTCACCATGCCGCGCAGAATAGGCCTGCTTACGTATTAATCCCAGATAGTCATAGGATCCGGAACTAAAGCAAATTATATAGGTAAGGGGATTTGCATAATCCAGTTCCAATTGCAGCATTGATGTATGGTGTCAACAAGAACCCGGCTGAGAACGATGCTGCCATTCTGCAGATGCAGCTGCTACCGCAGCAATTTCTCCCGGAGAAGCACTCACTACGATTGATGATCCACCAATTCTATGGACTGAACGATCTCGGAGATTCGATTGACTTTGGAGGCTGGTGGATTTATTTATTATTGTAAAGGTGATCAAACCGGAGGTAACGGAGCCAATATGAATCGCGATATTAATAAACGCAATCGAAACCGCCAGCAGTTTCAGGGGGATCAATATGCAATTCCGGCAAGAGAAGAGGTAGTAATCAAACGTGGGTAACCGGTATCATGATCCTGGACCAGCATTGGGATGCTGTTAGAATTTAGTCGATGGAAGTTGTGGATAAACGGATTAAAAGTGAGAAGATAAGAGTCACGTTCATCTAGATAAAATTGATAAATAGCCGATTTTTAGCGATGGGCCCAATCTTAGATCCATAGGCCAACATTAGAGCCATTTTTCCTACGAAATAATACGATTTTCAGTTTATTTAAACTGTTGCGTCTAATCACAGTGTGCGCCTATTGGCACACTAGTGTTCTGTGGAATGATTTTGACAGTGTCAGTTTGTTTTTCCGTACACTTCCGTTTCTGCAAATCAAAGCGCATACATTTTAGGCTTGCCGAATGGCTCAAGCACAAATCCGTAAAGGTTGAAATCCAACTCGCGATCCCATCAGCCTGTCAAGGAAGGATACCATTTGTCGTTTCGCCTGATGGAATGAAGGTCAGGCTTGTCGTGTTGATGCTTTGCCGTACACCGCTATGCTGCACGTCACTAAGAACTGCACTCACTGGGGATCTGCGCTCTATGTTCACTGGCGTTGGAGATTTTTTTTTTTTTCCTTTGGTTTGTTTTTTCCGTCGATCTTGTTTTCCGTGCTGAGCACCAATGCTACCGACGTGCCAGGAAGGCAGCTCCCACACCTGGACCCTACCTATCGACCCATCAACTCATGAACCGGGGACCAACGGCTTTACTTCCCATCCGAAGGAAGGCGTGATCAGAGATGTTATGCCTCAGAACATCCCGGCGGCGCCGACTGGGATTGAACCCAGGCCTGCTGGGGTGAGAGGTAATCACGCTTACCACTACACCACCGGCGCCGTTGGCGTTGGAGATTGATCGCATTGAAATCGAGGGGTATTGGATTCAACCCCTCCAGAAGGGAGGTCTCCATGATCGTCGTGTGTAAGGTATTCAGTCCTAACGTTTTGTTTATTTCTACCATCTCAACCATACAAAAACATTCACTCAAAAGTCGTGTGTCATGTGCCCTGCATCTTCTGGTTTTGTGCTACATCATATCAAAATAAATATCTTAGACTGTCCAACCTACGGCAACATAGATAATATACCTTTAGGAGTCGAATGACCTTGACTAAAACTGATGTTTTTTACTATTATAGTCACTTTAACGCTCTTGGGTCATTTGTGACTTGTCCGATGATGAGATTTGAACTCGTGACTTTGGTGTGAGAGGTATGGATGCTAAGCACTACGCCGGGGTCGCCCCCTAAAACTGATGTTATTATGATACTATAAATTTATGAGTTGAATTTAATTCATAATCTGCATTCTGCGTTGAAATAATTACTACGGCCAATAAAAGGACAAATTATGCCAAAACTGGTGGTTCAGCTATAGGCTTAAAATTAGTTATTAAGATTATTGTGATAAAAAATTAACAGATTTCATATCGCTGTATAATTCAGAATGCTAAACTTCAATTCAATGGTATCAGTTGCGACACAACATGGGAGTTTCTAATTTATAAAATGTGAAAACAAAAAATCCTTACTAACTAGGGCCAGAACTGGCTCACCTACACAGAATATAATTCTGAATTTTAACCATCGCGTAATAACTCCCTTCGTTTAATGTTATACCATAGTCGGTATAAACAACGAAATTATTTATAAGCTTGTATACAACAGTGCTGGTTTATGCGAAATCACTCTTAAATTTACATTAAATACCTTAAATGTACGCTATCTAGCGTTAAAAACGTGTGCGCTACATATCGCAGAAATTTACATGAATTTTTCAAACGGTGCTTAAGATGATATTACTATCATCTAGAAATTTCAAGTGCACAAATATCAGCTCCCGCAAAACACACAACAATGAAACTAGCACTCCACGTTTGCTGCCGTGCGCCAAACATGGAGTTCCAATTTCATGACCGATGGCGTAACATTATCCGAGATTTGTGATTTAGAAAACTTGAAGTGTTAGAGCATATCAGCTATCATGATGACCATTTTTGGACTCTTCGGGGAATAACTGTGCTAGTGGCATGATTCATCCAACTTACCAACTAAACTTCTTCATCTGGCGTTAACGGTCCAGGATTTTCATTACAATATTTACTCCTCAATTTGTCTCTCAATGGTCGGGATACAGCAACGGACAGCAGCATGTAGCATTGACAGTCTGCGTTTTACAGCGGAATATACCTTCTTTTTTGGAGCTGTTCATATTCCACGAGGACACCTCCTAGGGTGTTCATTTGACAAATGTCAAATTCTAAAAAAAAATTATGGATGAAATGGTATATTACTATGTCGAAATTATATATTGTAAACATAATTGTATATTTTGGGTATTTTTAAAAAAGTAAAAAGAGATCATAACGTTCTAGGTTTTAGTGCAATATTCAGCAGTTGCCATTGACACTTAATTTGGAATTGGTGCTCGAAAATACGGTACTTTCTTCAAAAGTAATAGTTTGTAAAACTGCATATTTTGTTGCCAACTAGTTAAAATACTCCTAAATGTAGGCTTTTGATATCAATTTTTCACATAAATTGGATATTAGGAAACAAAACGTTCTTTTAAAGGTAATCTGATTGCTTATCCAGATTCAATTCCACAAAGTAAGATCATATAAGCTATTTCACCAAAAATTTCATAAAAATCAAGTATGATACAATTTTGAGGAACAATCAAAAGAAGCATATTCCCTCCCAGTCACAGTTGGTGAAAGGAACTATTCAAAACTGCTTATTGAATGCAGTCCTGAAAACAGTTCTCAAAACAAAATTTGGTCAAGATAGGAAAGTTGAACAATGTCGTTTAAGTGATGTTTCTCAATCGATACAATAAAACAGCTTCTAACGTTTCCAATGTAATATGTTTATTTCATACAAAATATAAAGGAAAACTAATATTAATAACAATAAGATGCTCAAATTTTGCAACAGAATATTTTGTTAGGTTGTTTTCACTGAGTTTTAGCGTTGCCTAATCTACTATTTTAAGATGTTAGGAAATATTTGTTTGATCCTAGTGTTACACACTCCCTCTTTGTTTTGATTAGTTCCTAATATCAAGTTTTCTTGTTTTGTTTCTTTTTCCCTTCATTGCTATTAACAGGTAAACGAAAAGCACTATATCTAAACAATGGCACCCTAATTTTAATGTTGTTTTATTTGATGATGTCTGAGTTGTTGATTTGTAGGTTGTGTGCTATGTAGTGTTGTTTTCTGATTTGATTAATTCATGCGATATTACATCTAACGACATATTGATAACATTATTTGTTTTGCAATTTAAAATTCCTTTTAACTAGTTTCATCCTTTTTTTTTTTGCTACTCCCCGCTCTATCTTCTGCAGTCAAACAAACACATTCGAGAATATGGTTGCCTGTATTCTTAACACTATTTAAACGTTGAAACTTTTTTCTGTTTTTGACGTGGAAAAAAAATCATACACTGTAGCAAACATGTAAAGTCCAAACAGTTTTGCCGGTACGATAAGCATAGTTTCATTCCCATTCGGCTGTGATAGAAGTCGATTTTGCACACAGTGGCAGTGTGTTTGCTGCACGTGTTTCGATCCTACATGGTGCTGCGAGGGACCTTACTTACTGTGGGGAGCATCAGATGGATTGGGCAGCTTGTCCCACGTTGGCTCAACGCCCCAGATTTCGCGTCCGTACTCGGCGATTGTGCGATCGCTGGAGAATTTGCCACTGGACGCAATGTTGTTGATGGACATTTCGAGCCATCTGGTTTGATTCTGAAATTGTGTATTTTGGAAATGATGTTTCGTTCATAGGACAACTATAAATACAATGTTACCTGATAAGTGGCAGACACCGCATCCTGAGACTTGATGTATGATTCAAAGTCTGCAAACAGATAGTAGCGATCGTACTTCATCAGTACGTTGGCAATATCAGTGAACTCGTGTGGGTTTCCTGGGCTGAAGAATCCACTCTGAATCTGGTCAATGCATTGCTTAATATCCGGATTGGAGTTGTAGTAGTCGTAGGCATTGTACCCACGTCGCTTCAGATCTTCGACCTCGTCGACAGTCATACCGAAGATAAAGATGTTATCGTTGCCCATCTCCTCAGCCATCTCGACGTTTGCACCGTCCAGAGTACCAATGGTTAAGGCACCGTTAAGCATGAACTTCATGTTACCAGTTCCGGAGGCTTCAGTACCGGCTGTAGAGATCTGTTCCGACAGATCGGCAGCTGGCATGATCTTCTCAGCCAGCGTGACACGGTAGTTCTCCAAGAAGATAACCTTCAGTTTATCTCCAACAATTGGATCATTATTGACAACATTACCCACGGCACAGATCAGCTTAATGATCTGCTTAGCAATGTAGTATCCAGGAGCAGCCTTACCTCCAATCATGATGGTACGAGGAGTAAAGTTAGCTGTTGGGTCACGCTTAATGCGGTTGTACAGTGTAATAATGTGTAAGCAGTTGAGCAGCTGACGTTTGTACTCATGGATACGTTTGACCTGGATGTCAAACATGGAAGCCGCATTGATCTTGACTCCGTAGTCTTTCTCCAACAGCTGAGCGAGTTTCAGTTTGTTCTCTTGTTTAACCTTCGCTACTTCCCGTTGGAATGTTGGATCCTTGGCGAATGCCTTCAGCTTAGTCAACTGATCTAGATGCACTGGCCATTCGTCTCCGATCTTATCGGCAATCAAATCCGATAGACCTGGGTTGCACAGCAGAAGCCAACGACGAGGAGTAATACCGTTAGTCTTGTTCTGGAACTTCTCGGGGCACATTTCGTAGAAGTCCTTGAAAATATCCTTCTTGATAATTTCAGAGTGGATGGCAGCGACACCATTCACAGCATGCGAACCAACAATCGAAAGATTAGCCATATTGATACGCTTATCGCCATCCTCTTCAACCAGGGAGAGCGAACGCATCTTTCCGAAATCACCTGAGAAACGCTTCTCAACTTTTTGTAAATGCAAAAAGTTAATATGATAGATGATTTCCAAATGGCGTGGCAGAATCGACTGCAGCAACGAGACTGGCCAACGTTCCAGGGCTTCCGGCAGAACGGTATGGTTAGTGTAGGCACACGTGCGGTTGACGATATCCCATGCTTTTTCCCAGGAAAGCTTCTCATCGTCAACGAGAATTCTCATCAATTCGGGAATAGCCAACGATGGATGAGTATCGTTCAGCTGGACGGCAACCTTGTTCGGGAAGTCATCGAATGAAGTACGAACTTCATCTTGGGAACCGAACTTGGCAGACTTGTAACGACGAACGATGTCCTGGAGCGTGGCCGCACACATGAAGTATTCCTGCTTCAAGCGCAATTCCTTACCTTCGAAGAAGTTATCGTTCGGGTACAGAACACGCGATATGTTCTCAGCCAAGTTACGGTCCAACACGGCCTGAATGTAGTCACCATCGTTAACTGCAAGTAGTGCGGAGCATAAGATTTTCATTCGAGTTTTTAAAAAGAGTTACACTTACAGAATTTCAAGTTGAAGTCAATGGGAGACTTGGCCGACCACAGACGCAGAGTATTGACAACGTTGTTGCCATATCCGGGAACAGGGTTGTCGTAAGGCATGGCAAAGACAGTCTGAGTATCTACCCATTTCTTACCCTCGGCAGTATCGATCACACGTCCGTAGAAGTGGATCGGAATCATGTACTCAGGGCGAGCCTTCTCCCATGGGTTTCCATAACGCAGCCAATCGTCGGGCTCTTCCACTTGCTCTCCATTCTTTATCTTTTGGGCGAAGATGCCGTACTCGTAACGGATACCTAAATTGAAAATTACGGTTGGAATAGTAACATAATAGTCAATTATAACATGTTAAGCTTACCGTAACCATACGCTGGCATTCCGAGGGTGGCCATCGAATCGAGGAAGCAAGCCGCTAAACGGCCGAGACCTCCGTTACCCAAGCCGGCATCTTCTTCCAAATCCTCAAGCTCTTCAATGTCCAGACCCATCTGGTACATGGCTTCATCGCAGGAAGTTTGGATGCCCAAGTTGATCATGGTATTTTGCAGCGAGCGACCCATGTAGTACTCCAGCGAAAGGTAGTACACGCGCTGTTGCAGGGAAGGAAAATAGAAATAAGGTGTTATTTGATATAGGTTTTGCACTAGTGAAACTATGCTTGATTGTCAGCCAAATCCTGTTACCTGCAGTCAAGTACATTCGCCATTTACGTACAGTCTAACAGAGAACAAAGTCGGAAACAAAAGACAATCATTCTGAAATACGAGCTCGCAACCTATTCAATTCAACAGGTAGGTAAATGACTGGCATGCTTCTCGTTTGCATTTGCACTCCTAACTTGGGATGTTACGTCAACAGGTGTCGGACCGGTGCAGCATTGGCATTCGGCAAGGATTTTTGTTTGCTTTACATTTCAAACTTAAAAATAGGTCACCCAAACAAGTCCGTAGATCATTTTCCTTTCTTTTCTTTTTCGGCAAATTTATTTTGGGTTTGCAAACGCACACTTCTCATCGCAATGTCAATGAACGCCGAATAATTTGGTCAATTTAAGTGCCACGATGCGTGGGCACAGGCACAAATTCGCCGACGGAATCGAACAGTGTGCATGGGAGCTTTGCTTGGGGAAGTCGGCGATTTATGATCATGAGACATTTTTTAACACACTAGGACAGTTGATTGCGGAGTACTTCATTCTTAAAAAAATATTTCGTTATTTTTATTAGATTATGATTTTTTTAAATATTAATAAACTGATCCTGGAGAGACGAGAATTTTCGGCAAACTGTTCCTCACTAACGAAATTTTGTATGTTTGCTGTAGTGCGTACAAGGGATCAATTATTTCGGTCATTACTGCGACCTGTGCAGTGATTTTGTTATTTAAGGTGTTTCCTTGTGGAGTCCATTTTTCCATCACACCTCACAATTTCATGAGCACACAACTCAAGATCTACGAGGTTTATGCATCTGTAAATTTCAGACATTGCTTGCTTCTCCGCAGCAAATAACAAGTAGTAGTTTCAGCTACGTGCATTCACAGAAAGCTTAATATTTTCATATGTGAAATTGCTAAGTGTAACACGAAAAAGGACGCTACAGGGAATCACCTTAATTGCATACGGGTTATGAGTCTTTATACCAATTGTGCAAACACCGCTCAGAGCTACGGCTGCACGGTCAATCTTGCTTGGTAAAATCTCGGCCGATTTGCTCAGCATTTTCTTTTGCTGGTATTTCTGTATAATATTTATTTATCTGAGTCTCGGAAGCCTTTTATTGAGTACTACAAAAATAAAATGCAGAAATAGACGGCTGTTTAAATTTCGGTATGCTAAGCAGTGTTGGAAAAGTTCGCGATATTTCACGAAGTTCACCAACGGAAAAGTTCGCGAGTCATAGTGAGTTTTCGCGAACTTTTCCATCACTGATGCTAAGTTTGTAAGCAGTAGAAGTTAATCGATTTCATGATCGACAAATGAAATTAACTCTATCAACTCAAGATATAAGATATACGTTCATTTGAACTACGGCTCCGCAAAGCTACCCCAATTGTGCATTGACAAATAAATTAATATAAATAAAAGGAAAACAATTTGTCTAATATAAATTTTACTACTACAATTATATATTCAAAATTGTACATGATGCTTCTTTAATGTACATCATATTTTACATAAATGCTCATATCTAATTGTTTGTTTTTCTTTTCTATTTGTTTTCAGGTTTTGTTGGTTTTGACATCCGTTACAACTGATGCGAGTTTTAAATTAACAGTAGTGCAAATAGATATTCTTTCTTTGATATGGTGCTTTGTTTCGGTAAGTCAAATTAAATTATTCAATGTTATGCATTTTTTTAAATAGCTCAATCCTTGTTGCTCAATGTTGTTTGTAAGATTTACATTACGAACAGCAAAGAACACACAGACTAGCTATTAGAAATTTCGTAAAATTGGTAAAAATACAAGTAATACTTGAAAATGTTCACACATAGAATAACTCCATTTTTGTTTTCTGTTTTTACTGTGGAATGATTAGTTTTGTAAACATAAAACAAACTATGATATGCTGTCCATTTGGTTTACGATTTAGTGTTCACTGAAAGGTTGCTGTTGTAATTTATATATATCAACACTTCCATAGAAAAAGTTAGATTGGATCATAGAATTTCGTATCAATTGGTAATTTTGTTCCTTATCGAAAATATTACACCCTTATGTTTTTTTATTTCGCCATTAGGCTGGCCCAGCCTAACACTTATGATCTGAAAAATCAGCATTTTTCAACTTTTTTTTTTAATCATAACTTTTGAACATTTTTCGGACCAAACGATCAAATGAAAGATTATTGAATCTAGTTTAGGGAAAAATAGGAATATGGACTTTATACGTGTTTGTACTTTGCAAAACATTGATTATAATCGATTTTCTCGATTTCCAAGGTATCGGGACCGATGACACTATAGCATGGTATATTTTTTCCTAAAAGTTTGTTTACACAACATATCAAAAAATCAGCGATGAACTTCTTCAGTGTATAGTACAAATACTCTACTTATAAGGTACTAGACATTGAAGAAGTCATCATATTGTAGACGGAATACTTCTATGTGTCAAGGATAAGCAGTTAAGGTAGTAGAATTAAATAAAAATTACTAATCGTTCTTTCTTTCTTTAAAATTAATTCAAAGCCACAAAGGTTTAATACTTCAAGCATTAAAAATTGAATGCTAAATAGTATGTACGTAATCTATATTTAACTGAGTAAACCAATAACTACATTATTCGGTAAACCACAAATAGATTTAAATTGGACAAAATATAATGTTTTGCTGAGAATATCCGCCTGTATGTTTCGATTAGTCTCTTATGTAATCGAAGGCAAAATATTAAGAAGACTGGGTATCTGTGGTCTTTGTCCAATGGACAAATATAAGAAGAATCATTGCATAGCAAAATTAGTCAATAGGCAATATTTTAACCAGTTTTGACCCGACATCAAAACTCTCATCCTATTTATTGGCCTGTTTGACACCCTATAGCTGGATTGACAATCGTTTGATGAACTGAAGAGTTGTGGATCACGTGTGTGCTACTATGGAAAGGAAAGTGTTAAACTGGACTAGCTATTTAGTATGGTTGTTTACAAACTTCGTAGACAATTTTTGAGAGATTTTAGAACCCACAGAACACAGAAAAAAATCTAAATTTTAATCTCCTCTCGTTTAACGTTAAGCTATATTCAGCATAAACAACAAAATTGTTCATAGGGTTTCCATTCCCGGTTTTTTTTTTCTTGGATTCCCGTGAAATTTTAATATTTATTCAAACACTGAAAGCGAATCTTACTCAGAGAGTGTGTCGCTTTTGCTCATTCGTTCATTGGAGAAATTTCTCTGAGCTGCGCTGAATGACCTACGCTTTTAAAAATTAATGAGTAAAAGTGACTCACAACTAAGTAGAAACTACTCACACTTTGAAATTGTAGTTTCGTTTTCAGTGTAGATTGGTTTTGATTTAGTTGAACTTCATTTCCTCAGTTTAAATTAATCATTAGCGTGAGGCTTGTAATTGATGGAAAAATACGACAAAAGAACATTTCAAGGGGTCATCCACAAATTATGTAACGGTTTGTGTGTGATTAGAAAACCCTTCTGCCATTTCTATGTCACTGCCCCCAATACCAGGGAGCAGGAGAGCTTTACGGGATTCCAAGCAGTGTAAAAGACGCACTCAGCAATGACGCAAGCCGGACCGCTGCTCTACTGGATTTTATTAAAGAGACAGAACTCTTCCACCTAGTTTGACAACTACCACTTCGCAGCTCGCTGCCGGTAGTGGACCCCTCACGGAAGCCCGCTACCGGTGGCACCCTCCTCTTCATCATCGACCGACCAACCGCATCACCTGGATTACCGACCCTAAACTGACCAATGATACAACCAAGACGCATGCGCAATAAAACCCGGACTACTGACTCCAACAGACCTACAGCACAACCAGAACCTACCCGCAAAGAACCATTGACCCATTCTCACAGCAAACTAGACAGCATACAGCACTCTGTTTTAATCAACTCTGTATTAGAGGGACCCCTTTTTGGGGCCCCGTCCTCCTTCCCGGGACCTCCCTCGGAGATCCTCAGAGTCGAACCCCAATCGAAGCCAATGACTGAAAGTCTTTTTAATAAAGTAACCTAATCTAACCTAACCCCTCTTCCACCCTTCTGGTAAGATCTTAGGTTAACCCCCCTTCCCAAATCTTAGGACGATTTCAAAATTTTCGATCAATAATGAGTTGGAAACATTGCGCATTTCACACCAATCTGGGCTAATAAGCGCGTTTCAACTAATTAAAACGTGTGAATTTCCGTCTTGGTGTCTTCGGTGCCGTTATTCCTTATGATGCAAGCAATAAGTGCTCCGAAGATACCGAAACGATTTGACATAAACGTGCACTTGTATCACACTTTTTGCATTTTTGACGAACCAGCCCAGGGCTGAAAGTCTCCTTAATAAAGATATAAAAAAATATGAATTTCATAAGCGTGACTGCTTTCTAACACCCCAATGGGTCTGGGTTCAATCCCAGCCGAGGTCGGTGGGATTTTTCAGAGGCATAAAAATCTCTGGTGACGTCTTCCTTCGGAAGGGAAGTAAAGCCGTTGGTCCCGGCCCATGTGTATGTGTGTTGAATGGGTGCGATATCCTACGCAGGTGTGGAAGCTGCCTTCCTGCACATTCGATTGCCGTCAATGGATGGCAATAGATGTCCGTCGGTGATTGGCACTAGATTGCGGAACAGAGACCGACGTTAAATAAAGGAATGAAGACATAATTTTCTTCTCGCTATGTAATCTAAATAGTGTAAGAAAATGTTAACTCCCTCTCCCTCCATTGTGAGAAGCAGTAAGAAATGTTGAAACCCCTCCTCCTCCGCCCACCCTATTCCCTTACATAATTTGTGGATGACCTCAAATTGACTTTTCAGAAGGTTGATCGATGTCCCACTTTTGTGTGTTCAAATCACTTAGACGTCGACTACTAGATCGAAGTTTAACTTGCTTGAACGTATTGGTATTATAAAGGTC